TTACTCATTTGCATTTGCCAAGTAAAACTGCATTCCCCACCCATTCAAATGGCTAAAATAGAAGGAGATCATAACAATTGTTCGTGAGAATGTGGGGGAACAAGAACCCTCATATGTTGCCAGTGGGAACATTAAATGATGCAGCTACTTGGGAAACAGTTTGGCAGTTGCTTAAAAAGTTAACATGTATTTACCATATGACCCAGCAATTCTATTTCTAGGTATCTACTCAAGAGAAGTGAAAACTTTTATCGACATAAAGACTTGCACACAAATGTTCTTAGCAGCTTTATTTGTAACAGCCAAAACCTGGAAATAATCTGTGTCCATCAACTGTGAACAGATAGACCAAAGTGGTATATCCATAAATGGAATATTATTTAGCAATAAAAAGAAATGAATTTGTAAGGAACCCTTGTGCACTGCTGGTGGGAATATAACTTGGCATAGCCGCTGTGGGAAATAGTATGGAGGCTCTTCAAAACATTAAAAATAGAAGTACTGTATGATCCAATAATTCCACTACTGGGTATTTACCCAAAGAAAACCAACACTGATTCAAAAAGATACATACACCTGTTTTTCTTGCAGCATTATTTACAATAACTAAGATAAGGATGCAACCCGTGTGTCCATCAGTAATGAGTGGATAAGGAATATGTGGTGTACACACATACACACACAGGGATATTATTCAGCCATAAAAAGGGATGAGATCTTGCCATTTGTGCCAACATGGATAGTCCTAGAAGGTATTATGCTAAGTGAAAGAAGTCAGACAGAGAAAGACAAATACTGTTGATTTAACTTACATATTGAGTCTAAAAACAAAACAAAAAGAAACAGCCAAAACCACAGAGAACAAACTGGTGGTTGCCAGAGCAGTGGGATGAGGAATGGGCAAAATGGATGAAGGGGAGTGGGAGAGACAAGCTTCTGGAATGGGATAAATAAATCGTGGGTGTAGAAGCATATATGACAGCGTAGGGAATATAGTCAGTGTTGTTGTAATAGTGTTGTACAGTGACAGATAGTGTGCGTACACTTGTGGCGAGCATGGCATAACCTGTAGTTGTCGAATCACTATCTTGTACACCTGAAACTAATGGAATCTTGTGTGCCAACTACAACAAAAAAAAATTTTTATAAGAGAAATGAAGTACTGATACATGCTACACATGGATGAACCTCATAAAACACACTAAGGGGAAAAAGCAAGGCACAAAAGACCACATGTTGAAACAGCAAACTGCATGTGAGATCTAGGTGGGGTGACGAAAGTGTCCCAAAGCTCTTTATGGTAATGGTTGCACAACCTGACGAATTTGCTAAAAACCAATGAATTCTGAATGGCGAATTGGATGATCTGTAAGATATACCTTATATTATCACATAAGATCCTGCAGTGTATCAAAAAGAATGGCCCACTATGACCAGGAACCTTTTTTTCCAGGAAGAATGATTATCAAGAAATCTGTCAAGATAATTATTATATCAGTAACTTAAAGGAGAAAAAGCCATATGATCATATCACAAGGTGTATAAAAGGCATTTGGGAAAAATGTGTTTTTCACATTCTTAGTTTTAAAACTCTGAAGTAAAAGAGGGAGAAAAGAAAAGAGCCCAAATATAATAAAGATGGGTTATTAAATGCTCTAGCAGCTTTCATCCTAGTTGAACATCCTCGTTGAACACTAAAACCATGTCAGTTCAAACCAGAAACAGGTACTCTGTGTCATCCTAGTTATTTACCATCGCTTTGAATGTTACAGCAATTGTAATAATAAAATAAAAATGAAGCAATTGACATAAACGTTAGAAAGAGATGTCCACTGTCCCTGTTTGGTTGTGATTAAGATTGTATGCCTAATAACTAGTTTTATAAGGGAATATAGTAAAATAGTAGATTATAAGTATACAATAATCAAAAGATTTTTCTCTCCAGTAAAATATATGCAAAATGAAAATAAAGATCCATTTCCAACAGCAACAAAAATAATAAAATGTATAAGATCTGTATTAAATTTGTATATTTAATTTTTTAAAAAGGCATATCACCTATATGAAAAAGGTATACAATAAATAGAAAGGCTGCCTGAAAAAACGTAATATCATAAAATGTAAATTCTTCCAATAATGCAGTTCATATTAACATTCCAATAGGATCAAGTTGGTGAAGGGGAATTAGATAAATTTATCTTTATTTTGTAGGGGAATTAAAGATTCAAAATAGCCAAGATCTATGAAAATGAACAGTAAGGGTAGATTTCTATCAAAAAATCAGAATATGCTGGGATGCCTGGGTGGCTCAATTGGTTAAGCATCTGCCTTCAGGTCAGGTCATGGTACTGAGATTCTGGGATCGAGTCTTACACTGGGCTCCTTACTCAACCGGGAGTCTGCTTCTCACTCTGCTGCTCTCCCTGCTTATGCTCGCTCTCTCACTCTCTCTGACAAATCTTTTTTAAAACCAGAATATGCTATCAAGACACTAAAAAAATGTGGTATTAGAATAAGAATAGACAAAAAGATCAATAGAAAAGAAGAGTCAGAAAACAGGTCTCCTATATCCTGAGATGTATTTATGAGAATAATATAACCAAGGTTTGATTCACTTGGAAATGGCGGAGATTGTTTAATAAATGGTGCTGGTACAGAATTGGCCATCTGCCTTGAAGGAAATTAAAATATTCCTTAGCTCAGGTGCCTGGGTGGCTCTGTCGGTTGAGTATCTGCCTTGGGCTCAGGTCATGATCTCTGGATCCTGGGACTGAGCCCTGCATAGGGCTCCCTGCTGAGCAGGAAGCCTGCTTCTCCCTCTCCCCTGCTTGTGCTCTCTCTCTCTCTCTCTTGCTCACTCTCTAGTAAATAAATAAAATCTTTAAAAAAATAAAATATTCCTCAGCTCATAATCTGTTCAAAAATTAAGTTCACATAGATCAATAGGCTGAATAAAAGAAATACAGCAAAAAGAGGTAAGGAAGGGGATAGAGAAACAAGCACAAAAGGAAAATTCATTTTTTAATTTTTTTGCTATTTTTAATTTAAAGTCAGTTAATTAACATAATGTATTATTAGTTTCAGAGCTAGAGTTCAGTGATTCATCCGTCTTATTAATACCCAGTGTTTATTACATCATATGCCCTCCTTAATGTCCATCATCCAGTTACCCCATCCCACCACCCTCTTCCCCTCCAGGAACCCTAGGTTTGTTTCCTATCATTAAGAGTTGCTTATGGTTTGTCTCCCTCTCTGATTTTGTCTTGTTTTATTTTTCCCTCTCTTCCCCTATGATCCTCTGTTTTGTTTCTTAAATTCCTCATATGTAGGAGATCATATAGTAATAGTCTTTTTCTGATTGACTCATTTCTCTTAGCATAACACCCTCTAGTTCCATCCGCATCATTGCAGAAGATAAGACTTCTTTTTTTTCATGGCTGAGTAGTATTCCATTGTATATATATACCACCTCTTCTTTATGCATTCATTTGTTGATGGACATCTGGGCTCTTTCCATTGTTTGGCTATTGTGGACATTGTTGCTATAAACATTGGGGTGCAGGTTCCCCTTCAGATCACTACATTTGTAGAGGTAAATATCTAGTAGTGCAATTGTGGGGTCAGAGGGTAGCTCTATTTTCAAATTTTGAGGAACCTCCATACTGTTTTCCTGAGTGACTGCACCAACTTGTATTCCCACCAACCACGTAGGAGGGTTCCCCTTTCTCAGCATCCTCACCAACATCTGTCATTTCCTGACTTGTTAATTTTAGCCATTTTGACCAGTGTGTGAGGTGGTATCTTATTGTGGCTTTGCTTTATATTCCCCTGATACGAGTGATGTTGAGCATTTTTTCATGTGTCTGTTGGCCATTTGTGTGTTTTCTTTGGAGAAATGTCTGTTCATGTCTTCTGCCCATTTCTTATTTTTTGTATACATATAAGTTTTTCTTTCTTTAAAATTTTGGGATACGGTTTCCTCTAACAGACCAAAATATACCCTAAATCTAATGTATGGTTTGTTCTAGTCTCCAGCCTGATCACATTCTCTCCTTTTTTTTTTCAACCAGCTTCTTACCAGATTCCTTTTCTGCCCATTTCTTGATTAGATTATTTGTTCTTTGGATGTTGAGTTTGTGAAGTTCTCTATAGATTTTGGATACCAGCCCTTTATCTGATAAGACAAGAAAATCATCTTTTAAAAGCAGGGTGGAACCGTATCTATTCATTTGCATAAAATTATATAAATTTTTAAAAAGGGACTCAGTGAAGCACAAGGTATGTAAATTATCGTAGGATAATCACCATTTAGAGTTCTTTGCCCCTTAAGAAACTGGGAAGTTGTTTTTGCTGGTTTTGGGTTTGTTTTGTTTTGTTTTGTTTTGTTTTGTTTTGTTTTTAGATGTGGGAAGGGCCAGGGGAGAAGGAGAGAGAGAACTTCAAGCAGACTCCCTACCCAGCGCAGAGCCCATCTCAGGGCTCGATCTCATGACTCTGAGATCATGACCTGAGCCAAAATTAAGAGTTGGATGCTTAACCACTGGGTCACCCAGGTGCCCCTGCTATTGTTCTTTGAGCCCCATTTAGAGAGGTCGGGTAAATGCAGTCTAATTAGTCAACTTCTACTTACAATTACTCTTCTTCAGTTAAAATCATTTCTAATTTATAAGGTTAAAATGACTTATTTTATAAACCCTAGACAATATAGAAAAGCAGTAAAAAGATTATTTAAGAAGCACCATTTCTCCACTATCCAGAGATAAACACTACTCAGGTTTCAGAGCATACCACTTATCCTCTTCAGTTTATATTTTTCAATGAAATATAAAATGTAAATCTTGTACATTGTAAATATTGCATATTTTAGTTAAAAATAGGTGTCCAGTCTTGGATTTTTTTTTTTTTTTCCTAAATGAGATCCTTTCCATTTGTGAACTATATATTCTTTTAATTACTCTTTTCTTGCTCATTCAGCATACATACTCATTATTCTTTTCTAGTTCCTGGCAGACATGGAAAATAATGCACTTTTTCGGGATGATATAGAATGTCAGAAACTTATTATGGAAGCAATGAAATACCATTTATTACCAGAGAGACGACCCATGTTACAAAGCCCTCGGACAAAACCTAGAAAGTCAACAGTTGGAACGTTATTTGCAGTTGGAGGAATGGATTCAACAAAAGGTATCAAATAATCTTTTTTGGGAGGGAACGTGGGGGTTGGTGGGAGGAATTTTAATTAGTAACACACATGGCCAAAAAGCTCTTTAGAGAAATGGCTGGTTCCAGGACTGGAAAAATACAGGGTAGATCCAGAACATCTTGTAGTGCCACAAAGTAAGGGAGCGCTCAAAGAATAATGGAGAGAGTTCAAGGGACAGAAGAGGCCATTTGTAGAGGCCCCTACTGTCCAAATCTGGGATAATTTCAACACCAAAATAGATAATGATAATAAAAGATGATCATTTATTAAAACAGGAAGTATTCATGAGTCCACACTAATACAAATAAAGACAGGGCAATGCATCATCTTGAATTTCTTCTGCTATAAGGGATATAATTGGAACAAATGATAAGATCCAAAATAAAGTCTGTAGATTAGATAACAGCACTGTATAAATGTTAGTTTCCAGATTTTGATGACTTTAGTGTGGTTTCATAACAGGGTTTCTTGTTTTGAGAACGCTACGCTGAAGTATTTAGGGTACAAGGGCATGGCGGTGGGTTTGGGAAAGTATACATACCATATACATTGAAAGCAAATGTAAAATATCCGCATTTGGAAAATCTTGGCCATGGGTCCCTGGGAATTCTTTGTACTGTTCTTGCAACAGTTGTTACTAATGGCAACAATAATAGTAATAAACATTATATATAGTTCCTACTCAGTGCCAGGCAGTGTGCTAGAAGCTTTCTGTGTGTTATCTCTTAGCGTACATTGATCTCCCTTCCTTCTGAATTCCTAGTACTAATAGCCTTCCATCCCCTGACAGCATCTCTCTGAGTTGGGACTACATCTCTGAGCTCAACTCATTCTACTTCTCCCCTCACCCTTTCTGTTCTAGCCCCACTGGCCTCCTTGTTCATGTAACAAGCCAAACATTATCCCACATTGGGGATATTACATTTGCTGTTCCTTCTCACTGGAATGCTCTGTGCCCTAATTTTGGAATGCCTAGCAGAACTTATCCACTGGGATCTCCAAACATCAGTCTAACCAACAAGGCTTCCATTGGCTAGTCATGAGCTGTCCATCACTTTCTAGTCTTGTGCATACCTCTTTGTATGTCATTCCTCTGCTTCATGGTAACAAAGGGATAGCTGTAGATATTATCCCATATAACATAGTATGGTACTAAATGTTTATAGTAACTTGAGTTCTAAATATAGGCTTGATCACTTAATGGTAGAGAAATATGTAAAGTTAAATAGCTGGTGAGAGTTACAGTATAAATATTTGAAATGTCTTGAGAGCCCCACAGTCCAGGTAATCAATACTTACTAAGTATTTCCTCTATGCCTTGAACTGGAGCTCAGCTTTGTAATCCTTACCAGCATTTCTTCCTCTCCATCTTTCCCTCTCTTTTTTAAGGCTGTAATTGTTATTTTTGTATTGCTTGTACTCTCGTGTTGCTTTTATTTTCATATTTTCAGCTTGCATGAAAGATCTAGTCTTTCAGCTTTCATCTCAAACTCTGTGTGTTCAGGTCTTCTCTGAACATGTCTCCCAGACTCGGGGGTTGGAACTGAAATTCATCATTTTTCGGTGGCATCAGTGGACACCAACCCTGGCTCATTTAGGCCGAGAAGGAAGGCCATGGAGAAATGGGCAGGAACTATGTCCACTGCACCTTCTTTATAAAACCTGCCTTGGATTTTAAGTCCTAGATTCAAGTATCTGTTTTACTAGCTGCAGGCCCATCCTGGGCCCAAAACTTCAAGGAGAGTGAGGATGAGTATCTGTCTTCAACTTTATGGGAGATGGGGTTCCTGCCTCTCAACAAAGCTCTTTGGTTCCGTGGGAAGTTCCTCATGCATGAGAAGGGGTACCCGAAGTAAATAATACATTTTCTTTCAAATCTTATCTTCTGACAATCACCCAGTCTTCTTTCAAATGGGTCCTTTTTTTTTTTTTTAAGATTTTATTTATTTATTTGACAGAGAGAGGGAGATCACAAGTAGGCAGAGAGACGGGGGGAAGCAGGCTCCCCACTGAGCAGAAGCCCTATGCGGGGCTCAATCCCAGGACCCTGAGATCATGATCTGAGCCAAAAGCAGAGGCTTAACCCACTGAGCCACCCAGGCACCCCTCAAATGGGTCTTATTCTTCTAAATTTCCATTGCTACTTTCCAGTTCCTGGTAGCCTCCTATCAGCCTACATCTTTTGATCATGTCCATTGAGTGTGAATAGCATTCCTTTTGTTGTTACTCTGGGCCAGGCATGACGTTAAGCCCTTCCCCTATCATTTTTAATCTCATGTTCATAATATCTCTAAGAGCTGAATGTTGTTATTGCCCTAGGATACCTGTGCTTAGAAGAGTTCAAGGTCTTCCGCAGGAGTACACAGTTAATTAGTGATGGAATCAGGATTCAAAGCAGGCATTCACTCAGGAGACTACACCCTCTGCTTCATTACCTCTTCTTTAACATGCACTACTCTGCTCAAAAAGGATAGCATTCTTCATTTCTTACCACCTAAGATGCCAGTTCCTTTTTCTAGTTCCCAAGACTTTCTGTGATCTGGCCATTGTTACTTGACCAACTTTATTTCTGAGCCTTTCCTAGATGCCAGTTTCTCTTGCCTGTTTGATTCAAGCTATCTTCCTTGGCCTTAACTTACTTTGTACCCAAAGTCTTTGTAATGAAGAGCAATTTGCATTCATTGGATGGCAGTCTTATCACTGGGATCTTGGTCCCTCCATATGTCTTAGTAAAGGGCGCAAAAATAAGCTGCAAATGTTTCTTAATACCCATGAAGGAAAAGAATATATTTCTGCTTACTTTTTTAAAGGTTAATTATTTAGTATAAGTCAGGGAAGTTCTAACCTTTTATATAGAATTTTATAATTATCAGGAATTTGTTATTGGGGGATATATATATATATATATTTTTTAAGATTTTATTTATTTATTTGACAGAGATCACAAATAGGCAGAGAGGCAGGCAGAGAGAGAGGAGGAAGCAGGCTCCCTGCTGAGCAGAGAGCCCAATGCGGGGCTTGATCCCAGGACCCTGGGATCATGACCTGAGCCGAAGGCAGAGGCTTTAACCCACTGAGCCACCAAACACCCCATTCCGGGGATATATATATATATATTTTTTAGAATTATGTTTGATGGAATGCCTGAGTGGCTCAAGCAGTTAAGTATCTCTCTTCGGCTCAGGTCATGATGCCAGGGTCCTGGGATCAAGTCCTGCATCAGGCTCCTTGCTCAGCGGACACCCTCCTTCTCCCTCTGCCTATGTTCCCCCTGCTTGTGCACCCCCCCCCCGCTTTTTCTGACAAATAAATACATAAAATCCTTTAAAAAAAAAAAGAATTATGTTTGGTCACACCAACATACTTTTCTGTAACTTGTTTCCATCTTAACTAATTACATCTACAAAACCCCATTTTCAAAATAGTTTATATTCTGAGGTTTTGAGTAAACATGGATTTGGAGGGGCATTATTCGACAGCCTTTTTTTTTTTTTTAAAGATTTTATTTATTTATTTGACAGACAGAGATCACAAGCAGGCAGAGAGGCAGGCAGAGAGAGAGGAGGAAGCAGGCTCCCTGCTGAGCAGAGAGCCCGATGCGGGGCTCGATCCCAGGACCCTGAGATCATGACCCGAGCCGAAGGCAGCGGCTTAACCCACTGAGCCACCCAGGCGCCCCATTCGACAGCCTTGATAACAATATTACTTCCTTTAAAGTTAAATATTATAGGGATGCCTGAGTAGCTCAGTCGGTTAAGTGTCTGACTATTGATTTTGGCTCAGGTCATGATCTCAGGGTTGTGAGATCAAGCCTTGAGTGGGGCTCAACTGGGAGTCTGCTTGGGATTCTCTCTCTCCCTCTTCCTCTGCCCCCCTGAAAATAAATAAATAAATATTTTTACAAATTAAAATTAAATTAAACACTATATAAAGATCCCATAAAAATACCAGGTTTTTTTTGCAAAAATGTCACAAGAGATTATGCTTTGACTTGTTCAGTAGATATCATTGTGTTACAGTTATTTATACTGTGTCTATTGTTTAACTATTTAAATTATCTTTCTAGTAATGTATTTGCATTCTCATGCAAATATTCAATGGTTATGAATAAAATTTGAAAAGTGAGTGTTAAAAAGCAAATTTATGTTTGGTGTTGGCTAAGGAAATTTTACTCACCAATTCATAGAACTATGATACTGCTCAGTGAACTGGAAGTAAAATAACTTCACATGAAAAAAATATATTCCTTAAACTCATTAGTGAAGAAAGATGATTACTATTGGCTTTTTATTTAACAGAATGAAGACATTTTTAAAGATCAAATTTAGAGTGATGAATAAAGAATACTATTACATAAAATAATCTGAGTGTATGAATAAAATCTCATTATACCTAAAAATTATAAAGAAAGATTATTCAAGCTCAAAAAAACCTTTCGAACAACCAAGGAACTCTATTTGTGGCTTTGAAGAATACAGAGATGGTGGGGTGGGGTGCCTGGCTGGCTTGGTCTGTGGAGAGTCTGGCCCTTGATGTCAGGGCTATGAGTTCAAGCCCCATGATAGGTGTAGAGATGACTTAAAAATAAAATCTTAAAAAAAAAGAACACAGAGATGGAAAAAGACTTGGAATCTACCCCACATAACCAAATAATTTTGTAGGGTAAATTAAAAAAATAAAAACTGTAACATATGAGAAAAAAAATATATTTATATACATATATATATCACAAAACTTTCTGAATTTTAGGAGATTATTAATAGTATTAGTGCTCTGATGAACTAATTATAACAAATGCTTTAGAATAAATACTTGTCCTGATTTTAATTCTATAAAGATAGCTCTGATTACATGTTGTGTTAGAAATGTAGAATGAGAGACATAAAATAGATTCTGATCAAACACTTCATAAATGGAGGTTGGGTTCTTTTAGAGGGGTGGGACTTTTACACTTCTTTTTCACTTCATAAAACAAGAGAGT